AACTCGCCATGGGACTGGAGAGATGGCTCACACCTAAGAGTGCACAAACTGCTCTGGCAGAGGACACAAGTTCAGTAATCAGTAACCACATGGCAGCTCACAAGCATTTGTAACTCAGTTTCAAGAGATCCAACGCCTTCTTCGGGCCTTAGAGAGCACCAGGCACAGGCATTGTGCATAGACATACATACAGGAACTCTCACATACACATAAAATGAAAATAAATATCCATGGGCAGGAGCAATAGTTCAGCCATTAAGAAGAGTACATCCTGCTCTTGCAGAGGACCTGAGCTCAGTTCCCAAGACCCATATCCAGTGACTCATAATAGCATGTTATCTACAATTCCAGGGAGGGCCAACATTTCTGACTTCTACATGCACCAGCACTTATTTTTACAGGTTCACACACACCATACATAATTTAAAAGAGCAAATCACAGTTTTGTTTCTTTATTTTGCTTTGGTTGATAAGATGGGGTTTCTCTATGTAGCTTTGTAGACCAGACTCACAAAGATTCAGCAGCCTCTGCCTCCTGAGTGCTGGGATTAAACGTGTACACCATCCATGCCCAGCATAATAAATCATTTTTTAAAACTAGATAAAATCTACAATGGTGGAAAACATCTGTTCCAAGCACTTGGGAAGTGACAGCAGAAAGATCAGGAGTTAAAAGTCACAGCTGACTGTAATCAGGGTCAAGCCAGCATGGACTACATGAAACAGTCTCGAACAAAATAAAACACATCTTGGTTAACATAAGTTGTGTATTTCCTAAAGTAAATTCCCAACCAACAGCACTGTAAGTTAAGACAAAACAAAGTTAATCTTATACATGGCATTTTTTTCACAAAGTATATTATGGCCTTCTCACCATCAAGAACACGTGACAGCACTCAAGCACATGCTTGGGTTCTATGTGAACAGGTACCTCACCAAATAAACAATTCTAAAAAGAAGAGGTAGTCAGAGAAGACAATTGTTTACAGAATGAGAACTGAAAGAAATTGCTGTGTTAGCCCTCAACCAGGAGTTCTCACACTGGGCCTCTCAGAATCTTCATCATTCTCAGTTTACAAATGGGCGCAAACCGGGGAAAAAAAACAGGCTTTAAGGTTACAAACAAATTTAACAATGGACTTTACATCGCACACACACATACATAAATACATGCACACTTAATGTATGAAGGAATAGGACAGACAAGGGACTTCCAAAGGGCAATAAAAGTCAAAGTGTGCTTGGTTTTATAATGAAAACTCTAAACTATAATTCTTATTAGGAAATCTGCAATTGCAAGATTGGTATCACAAGGGTCTTTTCTCTGCCTTCTCTGGACATGTCAGGGCAATGTCTCATATTGCCATCAATATTTAAATACACTGAGTACAATTTTATTTACTTATTTTCATTTTACATATTAATCCCAGTTCCCCCTTCCTCCCTCCCTGTTTCCCTCTGTTCATACCCCCATGCCCCCCGACCACACTCCTCTCCCACCCCCACTCCACATGTAGGGTGATGTCTTCCAGGAGGGGTCATCTAAATCTGACACATCATTTGGAGTAGGGACTAGGCCTTCTCTCCTGTCTCTAGGTTAAGGGAGTATCCCTCCATGGGGGATGTGCACCCAAAGTCCTTTTGTGCACCAGGTACATATCCTGTTTCCACTGTCAAGGTCCCATAGACTTCCCAGGCCTTCCGGCAGAGACCCATGTTTAGGGAGTCTGAGTCAGTCCAATGCTGGAATCCCAGCTATCAGTCTGGGGGCCTAGTAGCTCCTCCTTTTTTCAGGTTGGCTGTCTCAATGTATATTTGTAGCCTGGTCTTGTCCTCTCTCTCTGCTTCTGAATTCCTGTTTTGCTCAGTGGTTACTTGTGGGTGCCTGCTTCTGTTTCCATCTGCTGCTAGATGATAGCTCTATGATGGTGGATAAGACAGTCCTCAATCTCATTATCAGGGAAGGGCATTTATGGTAGCCCTTCCATTGTTGCTCAAATTGTTACTTGCAGTGAGACTTGAAGGTCTCTGGATATTTCTCTAGGTTCATTTTTCTCTTCAAACATATAATTGCTCCCTCTATTATGTTCCCTCTCTCTTCTCATCTATTCCTCCCCTGACTCAATCTTCCTAGGCCCACATGCTTTCCTCTCCTCCCCTTCTCTTCCTCCTAGCTCCCTCTCCACTCACTGCCCCACCACTCCCCATATGCTCAGGAGATCTTGTCCCTTTCCCCTTCTGTGAGGGAACTTATATGAATCTCTTAGAATCCTCTTTGCATCTTAATTTCTTTGGCAGTGTTAATTATAGGCTGGTGATCCTTTGCTCAGTCTAAAATACATATATGATTGAGTACATACAATTTTATTCTTTTTGTGACTGGGTTACCTCATTCAGGATAGTTTCTTGAAGGTCCATTCACTTTACTGCAAATTTCAAGATTCTATTCTTTTCTTTTCCGGCAGAGTAGTATTCCATTGTGTAAATGTGCTAAATCTTCTTTATCCATTCTTCAGTTGAAGGGCATGTTGGTTGCTTCCAGATTCTTGTGATTACAAACCATGCTTCCATGAACATAGTAGAACAGAAATCTGTGTTGCATGGATGTGGATCAGTTGGGTATATGCCTAAGATGGCGATTGCCGGGGCCTGTGGTAGACTGATTCCCATTTTCCTGAGGAACCGCCTTAATGATCTCCAAAATAACTGTACAACTTTGCACTCTCACCAACAGTGGAGGAGTGTTCCCCTTTCTCCACATCCTGTCCAGCATAAGTTGTTCTTGGTGTTTCTAATTTTAGCCAATCTGGCAGCAGTAAGATGGTATCTCGAAGTTCCTTTATTTGCATTTCCCTGATAGCTAAGGACTGTGAGTACATTCTTTAGTGCCCTTCAGCCTTTTAAATTTCCTCTATTGAGGGTTCTCTATTAAGGTCTGGACCCCATTTTTAATAGGGTTATTTGGTATTTTGTTGACTAGTTTCTTGAGTTCTTTGTATATTTTGGAGATCAGCCCTCTGTCAGATGTAGGATCGGTGAAGATATTTTCCCAGTCTGTGGGCTGCCGTTTGGTCTTGTCAACTGTGTCCTTTGCCTTATAGAAGCTTCTCAGTTGGGGAGGTCCCGTTTATTAATTGTACATCTCAGTGTCTGTGCTACTAGAGTTATGTTCAGGAAGCAGTCTTCTGTACCAGTTTGTTCAAGGGTACTTCCCACTTTCTCTTCTATGAGGTTCTACGAGTTTCAGTGTGGAAGGACATATGATGAGGTCTTTGATCCACTTGGACTTGAGTTTTGTGGATGGCGATAGACATGGGTCTATCTGCAGTCTTTTACCCACCATCATCCAGTTGTGCCAGCACCATTTGTTGAAGATGTTTTCCTCCTCACGGTATATACTTTCAGCTGTTTTGTCCTAAATCAGGTGTCCGTAGCTGTGTGGGTTAATGGCAGAATATTTGATTTAATTTCATTGGTGACCTTGTCTATTTTTGTGCCAATACCAGGCTGTTTTCAGGACTATAGGTCTGTTGTAGAGCTTAAAGTTGAGGATGGTGATGCCTCCTGGAGTTTCTTTATTGTACAGGATTGTTTTAGCTATCCTGATTTTATTTCTTTTTCTGTATAAAGTTGATTATTATCCTTTCAAGGATATTGAAGAATTGATTGAGCACAAATATTGATTGGAAACCCACTATTTTCCTTTCAGTTTAGGCACTGGGAATATAAATAAAAGTACCATACTTCTTACAGAGTTTAAATTAATGTGAAGCGGAGGACATGATGTTTAGAGAACAAAACAAGATGTGACGAGAAATAACGAAACAAAATAAGAGATATTGGTTTAGTTAGGGTACCGAGAAAGCCTTCTTTAAGATGACAGCGGGACCCCACATCTGAATGAAACAAAGATTCAAAAATGCAAGCACATAGAACACCACATAGTGAAAAATAAAAAGAAGGAAAGAAAAAGCTTGAAAGATGAAAGACCTTACCATACAGATGTGCTGGGCACACCAAAAATGAAGAAAGCCAATGGCAATAGATAGCAACAAAGAAAAGAGACATAGAATAGTCTATAGCTTCTCACAAGGTGGGTATGGTAAACTTGGTTCTGAGAATCTTGTTTTAAGTCTGTTTAAAACATTTGAGGGGGTGCAGGAAAGACTGTGACAGTATGCACAATTTATGTTTTAGGAGTTATTCTGAGTTTACAGAGAAAAGACAGTGTAGGAAGATATAAAGACATTCATAGGGCTACTGTAATGAACCAACTACTGCTAATGATGGCTTTAACCAGAGTATTGGTAGATGATAAAAAGCCATCAGATTAAAGGTTAAGAAATTTGACAGAATTTGATGATAAGACAAACAAATATGGGACACAAAAGGGGCACTGAAGGATGACTAGCCGCTGCCCTGTTCACAAATACAATGATACTGCCATTTAGTAACTACAACAAAGAATATTAAGCAAGACTAACTTGCGCAGAAGAAAGGAGTCAGTTTTATATACAATAGGAAGTTCCATCCAAAGACACCGCTCAGATTCCTGGACCCTGTATGTCAGCATGAGTTTAAGGCAATAATCTGATAAATGTTACCAGATACTGAGAAAGGTAGCTTGGGAATTCCAACATATTTACATTTTGTTCATGAAGAAAATCGTCCAAGACAAAATAACATTCTTAAAAATGAATGATGTAGCCAGGTGATGTAGGGCACTCCTTTAAAACTAGCAGTCAGGAAGCAAAGGCAGGTGGATCTCTCTTAGTTCAAGGCCAGCCTGGTCTACAGAGTGAGTTCCAGGATAGGCTGCAAAGCTACACAGACAAATCCTGTCTTGAAAACACAAACAAACACCAAATTAAAAAAAAAAAGACAACATGAATGATTCTATGTAATTGATAACATCCAATAATCAATGTGTAAAGCCTCTAATACATAACATGCATTTAAAGACATTTCACTTGCCATTCACTGGAGTTACCAAACACCTCTCACCTGTGAAGCATCCTTTCATTGTCTTGGTACAGCTCCCTCATCACTGTGATTTTCCTTTGAAGCTTCTGTTTCTCGATTTCAAGTTGTGTATTACCTGACTGCAAAGACACTTGTTCAGACTTGAGACTTCGCATATGCTCTAGACAAAGGTACAAAATCATAAAGAAACTAAAGGAATTAAAGAAATTCTTCAGTTCTTAATAAAGAAATTAAAGGAATTTCATACAATTAAAAACATATTAAAAATATTAAGGATACACAAAGTTGGTCAGATCACTGTGACTTCAAAACCCACCTACTTTATAAAGATACACAGAGAAGCCTGTCTTGAAAACAAAAATCCTTAATCACATGCCTAGTGTTTTTTAAATGTATATGGAATCACTCAGACAATATACAATTAAAAATATGTCTTAAATTTTTAGTGGCTAGAGATGGTAAGGGGAGTGTTTGTTTTTCCAAAGGTCCTGAGTTCAGATCTCAGAAACTACATGGTGGCTCCCACAATCTGTAATGGGGTCTGGTGCCCTCATCTGGCTTGCAGGTGTGCATCCAGTCAGAACATTGTATACATAATAAATAAATAAATCTTAAAGAAAAAAAGATAATTGACAAGATTGGACATGCCCAGGGACATACAGCTATAGACAATTACTATACACAACAGTTCAGTTACTAGTACCATAATAAATCAGTCTTTTTTTCAGTCTAAATTGTTCATGTGCTGTCATTCAAACTAGCTGATAATAAGTGCTCATTTCCACTTTCCTGAGAGACCAAGACTCAAACAAAATGAAGACTGGAAAGAATAATGACTTTTACATTATTTCAACTGCTATACTACTGAATCACCCACAAAATTGGGGAGATAGCTCAGTCAGTAAGGTACTGGCTAAGCAAACATGAGGACCAAAGTTTGGGTCATGAGCACCCATATAAGACCTGTCTGAGTGCTGAAAAGGGAAAAAACAAGATCCCTAGGGCTTACTGAGCAGCACAATCCAGGTTTAATGACAGCTTTCTCAATGAATAAGGGGGAAAGCAAGTGAAGGAAAGCCTGAATATCTACCTTTGTCCTCTATATACATATGAATACAGACACACACAAAATGGATTAACAATTATAAGTGATTGTGAATTCTGTATGAACTAGCACACCATTATTTTTACATATCTCACTTTTCTTTCATTATGATTAATACAACTCTACACAGCTCTAATATTAAAATGAGAACCTCAACTCTGACCTGCTCTAAGGTATCATTCCCAAAACATATGTGAACCAATCGAATACAAGAAAAAAATGCACTATACTTCAAAAGGGCAGTTTCAAAATCATAACAAGGAAAAGTTTAGTAACTATGTGCAATGGGATGTTATTATTCTAAAATGCAAGCTAAATAAACATATGGACCAAAAGAAAAGTTTGTGTCGATACAGTAATAGCAAAGGGAAAATGTACAGGAAATCATGAATAGTTGACTTCTGCAAAAATTGTAAAGCTATATCAGAAAAAAAAATGCCCATCCATGCTGTCTGCCAGATCTAACAAGTCACTTATCAAGAAATCAATGGTCAATACAAGCTGTAATATAATTGAATCATACTAATGCAAAGAAGCCTTAAAAAACAACACAAATTATTTTACCATTATACACTCAAGCTCTTTTTTCTAGTGTCTTACTTTATCTCATTTTAAAACTTTTAAAACTAAGTGTTTGGGAGACGTGGAGGGCAGGGGCTCAGAGGGAAGGGGACTGGGAAAAAGTATAGCTCAATTCAAAAAACGTGTGTGTGTGTGTGTGTGTGTGTGTGTGTGTGTGTGTGTGTGTGTGTGTGTGTCACACCTCAGCCTGCATGCCCAGGTGGGCAAAGGTCAGAGGACAACTAGCAGGGGTCTGTTCTCTCCTTCCACTGGAGACTGAATTCAGACCATCAGGCTCAGAAGAAGGGGCTTTTATGCACTGAACCCAGACACTATAATAGGGCACTGTACAGGCCAGGTGCAGTAATTTTAAGCCTATATAAAGCAGACATGTGAGAAGCTGAGGTAGAAATGTGAGGACTTCAAGAAGCCAGGGGTTACATAGAAACATGCATTTAAAGGAAGAACACACCAAAAAGGCCAGAATCTATGGGAGATGAGAGATGGTTAGAGAAAAATGCTCCCATATGTTAAAAATTAATTATTGAAAAATTTTATGACGCATTAAGGAAAGAATGTTGGGGCTGGAGACATGGCTCAGCAGTTAAGAGCAATGAAGGCTCTTCCACAGAACCTTGGCTCAATTCCGATCACCCACAGGGCAGCTCAAAACTGTCTGTAGCTCCAGTTCCAGGGGATCTGACACTCTCACACAGACATATATGTGAGCAAACTCCCAATAAAGTAAATAAATAAAAAACATTAAATAATTTTTAAAAACACCATGGAAAAAGAAAAGGTGGATTTGGAGGAACGCTCTACACACACAAGAGTTTCCAATATTATTTGGTGGGGGGGATTAAGACTGGCCAAGAGAAGGAGTAAACAATGGAATAACTGGGGAACTAATTGCTTGCTACACTGGTACTTCCTACTAAGATACATGTACGTTAATGTATGCCTCGATAAAGCTGCCTTGAAAACAGAGTGCCTATTCCTCTCTGTATCTTCCACACTGTTACTACTATTCTTCTCAGATAGCAGCATTTTTTTAAATTAGACTAGTGTTTTTTCAGGTCTAATAACAATACAATTACTATAATCAGTGAGTAGGGCAATTTAATCCAATGGTTCAATCTTTTTTAAGCATTTTGCTCATTAAAAGTCTTAAAGGCCTTTGAGACCCATTTGGTCTTTTTCTCATCAGATCTCAACCCTGGTCGTGAAGGTTATAAAGAAGATAAAGTACACTGAAGCTGGCCTCACAACGATGAAGTCTGGTATAGAGCATAGGTCCAGATTCAAATGGTTCTGGCTATCGTTTGGAAGACAGAATAAGTTAAGAATGAAAAGGAAGAAATGTGAAGTTCTGGGCAGCCGTGGCAATGGTTGACTACATATTGACGTTTCTTGTATTCATTGAGAGGATTATTTTGTTGATGTTGATTTCTGGTATGTTTATATTCAGCTGTGTAATCAGTGAAGGGGCTTTGCCTGTGATCATAGGTGTAGAGTTAGAAACAGGCAGGAAAAGCATCAGGCAGGTAAAAATGAAGCTCTACAAGCAGAAGCTTTTGTCTTATGTTGCATCATTTAAGCAAGTGTAACAGGATCAATAAAGCCTGTTTTGAAAAGAAAATATAGATGAGGAGAAATAAAAAAAAAAAAAGATGCCTGTGGTTCCATTCTGAGTTAACCAGCACAGACATTTGAATATGTCCATCCATTCTTTTCAGATATAAAAATATGAATTTATTTCATTAACACAGTGAGATGTGATATACCTTTTACAGCACAAACACAACTGGCAAAAACTATTTTTCAATGTGAACAAAATCAGCAAACTTTTTTAATGCTTTCCATAAAAAATATATTTTTACAGGTGTAAAGCCACTCTTGTGTATGCTAATAAATTATATGAATATATTAAAATAGTAGACATTACAAGCTCAAGTCCTGAAGATCACTTTCTCAATTTTAAAAAATGTAAGGAAAAAATTAAATTTAAAACTTTTTAACATCTAAAACTATATCCAACATTGTACTCCTTGTGGTGGCTTGAGTGAAAATGTCACCCTAGGCTCAGAGGATGTGACACTATTAGGAAGTATTGCTTTGTTGGAGGAAGTTGTCACTGAGGGTGAGCTTTGAGGTTTCAGATGCTCAAGACTGACCCAGTGGCACTCTTCCTGCTGCCTGCAGATCTAGATATAGAACTCCTGGATCTTTCCCCAGCACCATGTCTGCCTGTGTGATCTTCTGCAGTGCAATTACTATGGAATACTACTTTATGGTATACTTATAATTTGCAGGCCCTAGAACTCTGAACTATAAGCCAGATCCAATGAATGTCTTCCTTATAAGAGTTGCCATGGTCAAGGTGTCTCTACATAGCAATAGAAACCCTAACAAAGATGCACCATACTCCACATTCTTACATACTTTTAATAATTTACATAAAAAGAGAAAATGGACTACGTTACCACTGACAGTAAAACTCAGAAGTAATTCATTCTCTTTAAGGAGACATGCTCATCAAGAACCCTTACCTGTAAGATCATCATTTGTTGCATCTATTTCAGATAACTGAGTATAAATTTGGTTTCTGTCTCCTTCTAGGGTTTTTAATGAAGCACTTAACTTCAAAGAAGGAAAAGAAGAAGAAAAGCAATTATCAATTACACAAAAGAAACACACATCCCCAATATACCCCATACTACTGTTCTGCAGTTATTTTCCCCGTGATGATGTTATCATGGACAACATAAAGACATCAGTGCAGCTGCCAAAGCAGCCTTCACCCTATACAATCAGGACTTTTTACACAGATTAACTAAGAACTGACAGAGGGAATAAACCAGAAGAAAACACAGCTATTATTTATTTCTCAAAAGAGTATATAGAACCATTGGAACCAGAAGAAAAGAATGCACATGGGGAATGATTAAATAAAACAATAATATTCTGAAGATATCTTTAATGGAAGAAATGAGTGTACAATTTGAACATTTCTAAATACTATAATTATAAAAATTTCTAAAGTTGATATAAAAAAAGAAATTGATAAGGAAATCCTAGGGGCTGGAGAGATAGTACACTGGCTGCTCTTCCAGTGGACCTGAATTTAAGTCTCTACACGCACATGGCAGCTCACGACTGTCTGTAGCTCCAGTTCCAGGGAATCTCAAACCCTCATAAAAACAAGCATACTGCCAAACCACCAATGCACAGAAAATTAATACATCAAAAGAAAAAGAACATTCTAATCATTTATCATATAACCTTATACAAAAAATTAAAGCAATCTTTAAATTAGTTACTAAGGACACACAGATTTCATGTCTGCTGTAGGTCCTGCTCCTTCTCATCTAGATTTTTACATACTAATACAAACCTCAGTAGCATATATTAGCTTCCTCAAAGCTCCCTTAGGCTGATTACCTACAGTGAAAAATAAAACCATACTTAGTGAACACATCCAAATGAATACATTACTTCTTTATCTAGTCTTGCAACCCCTCTTCTGGCCAAAATTAAATAATTTGAGGCTGAGCTTACTTGCTCTTGACTCTAATTCCAACATTTCACAGCTAAGACAAGGGGATTCCCATGAGTATAAGGCCAGCCTGGACTCCAAGGTGAATTCCAGGCCAGCTTGACCTACAGCAAGATGTTGTCTCAGTAAAAAGAGTAATTAAAATAAAAATAATAATTTATATAAGGTAGAGTGATCTACACTCAGGAAGATAGACAGTGTACTACAGAGACCCAACAAGAACTGAATATTTACCTAAACAGTGTCCATGGACTTAACTATGCTTAGATTCTTATGGCATTACAGCATCCAGGTTAATTAGTCAACCGTGGCTTCAACACTAAAATTATTAATGAACCATGGCTCCAAGTTAAGTACTATTAAACATAAATAGAATATGTTTCTTCTATTATAAAATAAAAATGAAAAATACAAATATTTTATATTACTATACCTTACTATAGTTCCCCTTTTGTTATGGAACTTAAGAGCTGTGTTGTTATAATGGAGAAATATAGGCTATAGAGAAGAACAAAAGAGAAGAAGTCTACAACTCTGAAGAGGTAAAGAAAGATTTACACAAAAGACTAGCTAAATAAGGTGGAAAGGGAGTGTGGTATTTCATGAAGATAGACAAAATGTGCCAAGTCTAAGTATATGAGGAGCTCGATACACATGTGGAATGAAGAGGAAACAAGGAGTCAGTCGCCACAAGTCAGTGCACGTTATTCTCTAAGTCATTGTTCACTTCTACATCCAGATTACCATCATCAGTTACATCTTCCCCAAGCACAGAATTCCAGTCTTTCATCCTTAGCAGGCTCTCCATCAGAGACTGGATATTGAGTAAAAAGAGAAAACAAAAAGAGAAGGTAATGACTCATGATAATAGCTTTACAATTTAGAACTTAACTCATCTGAAATTCAATCCTGAGCCAATGAGATGGCTCGGCAGGTAAAAGCATCTGCCACTTAGACTGATAATCTGAGTTTAATCCCCAGAACCCACATGGTAGGAAAATTGCCTCCCAAAATTTGTCTTCTGAACTCCATACCCACATCATGGAATGCACATACCTGACACATACATACACAAGTAAATTTTTAAATATTATAATTTTTTAAATCAATCCCCATAAATAAATAATCCTTTTGTACCCTAAGTATCTGTCTGCAATTGAGATATGTAAACAGTTGGTTTTATCTTCTAACTCCACATTTAGGGACTATTAATCCTGAAAAACTAACTTGCTGAACATGGTACATCTTTTACCCCACCACTCAGAAGGAATAGGCAGGCAGATCTATGTGAGATGGGAGCCAGCCTGATATAATAAAGTGAGTTCTGGTAAGAAAAAACTACCTCTTGAAACACTGTATGCAAAAATAAATATTATGGATATTATGGTAGGGAGGGATGGAGGAAGGGGAGGTAGTGAGGGAAGGAAGGAATGAAGGAAGGATGAAGAGAAAAAGGAAAAGAAAGAAGAGAAAACAAAATCAAATACAGTGTTTTATAATGGTTCATTCTTGTTAACTACAAAGCAATAAAATATTTTCTTTTGTGTGTATCATACACACATGAGTATGCAGGTGCACATACAGCTGCAAGAGCATGAGGCAAGAAGATGCAAGTGTCTTCTTCCATCATACTCTACCTTACTGCCTGGAGACAGGACCTCTCATGGAATAAGAACTCCACTATCTCAAAAGCATGGCTGCTCAACAGGCTCTAATCTCCACTGTCTCTGTCCCCTGTGCGGGGCTCTCAGGCATGTGCAGCCATGCTCTTCTTATGTGGGTGCTTAGAATTCAAACTCAAGACCTTATGTTTGCAGACCAGGTGCACTAACCCACTAAACCATCTCCCCACTCCCTAAAATACTTTCTTTTGACATTCTTTATATTTTTTTACTAATTTACAGTTGGACTGGAGAGATAGCTGAGCAGTTTGGGACTTGTTACTCTACTAAAGCATCTAAGCTCTTTTCCCAGCACCCACATCAGATGGGTAACTTGTAACTCCAGCTCCAGGACATCCAGTGGTCTCTTCTGGCCTCTGTGGGAAGCATGCAGTGGCCAATAACATATGGAGTGGGATAAATGTTGTGTGGTGTTTCATCTATCTCCGAGACATACAAAAGCTATAAAAAAGATTCATACAAATCTATGAAAACATCATAGACATCTTGGGCACTGCACTCAAATGCACATTCCTATACATGGGCACATACAAATACACACCAACTAAAAAATTAACATCTCTGGCTGGAGAGATGGCTCAGCTGTTAAGAGCAGATATTATCTTGACAAAGGCCCAAATTCAATCTCACTACCCATATCTAGCATTTCTCAACTCCCTGTAACCTCAGCTGCAGGGACTACAAACTTTCTGGTTTCTGAGGGCCAAAAAACTCACATGATTATACCCACAAAAAATTAAACTACAGATTCTTGATTTATACAAGGAAGTAACTAGCTGGAGAGTCCAACTGAGACAAACAAAGACACGTTGTAAAATATTTTGAAGGAGTACTGGAAGACCATCAACTGATTTTTCTGCTGCTGTTGATATTTCTTTTTTTTTTTTTTTTTTTTTTTTTTTTTTTTTTTTTTTTTAAATCCGCCTATATCTGAGAGTCCACCTGAGTTCCTGCCGCCGGCAAGATCCTTGACCCCTAAAGCAGGGCCTCTGCTAAAGAAAGAGGCCTCAGCTGGAGAGTCCCAGTTTCCAGTGAGATCAGACTATCATGCAGAAACTTCCCAAGTTTCAGCTCAGCCTCTGTCCTCCTCCCCCAGCCATTGACTAGAGCCATTGGCTAGTGGCATCTTCTACATTATCCTCAGCCCTGACCCCATCCCTGGGTCCCTGTCTGTGGAGAGACTTCCTATAGAGCTTGGACTACCCAGAGATATAGATATTGACTCACTGACCACAAAATCCCACTGGGGAAGTATCATAGAGAGAGGGGGAGACCCCATCAACACCTACTGGAAGAAGCTATGAGAAGATGGCAATACAAGAAAACACCTAAGAACAGAAAGACAAACATGACACCACCAGAATCTAGGGAATCTACACCAACTAGAATGGAACACAACAACAAAGCAGAGGAAGCAGAAGGGAACGACTTAAAAATTTCTGTCATAAAAATGATAGAGGCCCTCAAAGAAGATGTGAGAAAAATCCCTTAAGGAAATGGAGAAAAAAACAAACAAAAAGTGGAAGAAATGAACAAATTCCTTAAGGAAAGCAAAGAAAGTACTGAAAGCCGCCAAAAAAAAAAAAAAAAAAAAAAAAAAAAATTAAGCAGGTGAATGAAATGGTTCAAGACCGAAAACTAAAATAGAGAAAATAAAGGCAACACAAACTGAAGGAATGCTGGAAATAGAAAAACTGGGCAAAAAATCGGGAACTACAGGCACAAGCATAACCAATAGAATTCAAGAGATCGAAGAGAGAATCTCAGGTACAGAAGATAAACTAGAAGAAATAGATTCATCGACCAATGAAAATCATAAATCCAACAAATCCTTAACAAAAAACATACAGGAAATGTTGGACACCGTGAAAAGACCAAACCTAAGAATAATAGGCATAGAGTAAGGTGAGGAAGCACAGCTCAAGATGGTGAAAGCATATTCAACAAAATCATCGAGGAAAACTTTCCAAATTTGAAGAAGGACATGCCCATGAAAGTACAAGAAGCATACCGAACCCCAAATAGGCTGGACCAAAGAAAAAAGACCCCTCCACATATAATAATCAAAACACCTAGCATAAAGAATAAAGAATATTAAGCGCAGTGAAGGAAAAAGGACAGGTAACATATAAAGGCAGACCTATCAAAAATACACCTGACTTCTCCATGGAAACCCTCAAGGCCAGAAGATCCTGGATAGATGTTCTTTAATATTAAGAGAACACGAATGCCAGTCTTGGCTACTATATCCAGCAAAACTCTCAATCACTATAGATGGAGAAAACAAGATATGTAATGACAAAACCAGATTTTCCCAAAACTTGTCTACAAATCCAGCCGTACAGAAATTATTGGAAGGTAAACTCCAACCCAAAGAAGGTAACTACGCCCACAAAAATGTAGACAACAGATAATCCAACTACACCAGAAACCAAGGGTAAAGAAGAACTAATATATTCACAATATCACTGCCAACAACAAACCTAAATCAAGCAAGCATCAACAATCAATGGTCCTTACTCACGCTCAACATTAATGTCCTTAACGCACCAATAAAAAGACACAGGCTAACAGAATTGATACGAAGACAGAATCCATCCTTCTGCTGCATACAAGAAACACATCTAAGATTCAAAGATAGACATTACCTCAGGGTAAAGGGTTGGGAAAAGATATTCCAATCAAATGGAACCAAGAAGCAAGCAAGCATAGCTATCCTAATATCTAACAAGTTAGACTTCAAACCAAAATTAATCAAACAGGATGAAGACGGTCATTTCGTATTCATCGTAGGGGAAATCCATCAACACAAAGTCTCAGTTCTGAACATCTATGCCCATAATACAAAGGCACCAACATTTGAAAAAGAAACGCTACTAAAACTCAAAGTTCATATAACACCTCACACACTTTCAGTGGGAGACTTCAATATACCACTCTCAACACTAGACAGGACCACCAATCAGAAACTCAACACAGAAACAAAAGAACTAACAGAAGTTATGTCTCAACTGGGATTAACAGACATCTATAGAACATTCCATCCAAAGAAAAAAGAATATACTTTCTTCTCTGCTCCACATAGAACCTTCTCTAAAATCGACCACATACTAGGTGACATAACAAACCTCAACAGATACAAGAGAATAGGAATAGTCCCCTGTATCTTATCAGACCACCATGCTTTAAAATTGGAATTCAACAACAACACAAATAGCAGAAAACCTGCAAACTCAAGGAAACTGAACAATGTGCAATTGTACCACTCCTAGGTCAAAGAGGAAATAAACAAAAAAATTAAGGACTTTCTGATATTCAACGAGAATGAGGACACAACATACCCGAACTTATGGGACACCTTGAAAGCATTGCTATGAGGGATGTTCATTGCACTAAGTGCCCATATGAAGAAAGCAGAGGATAGTCACATAAGAGAATTAACAGCGCAACTGTAAGCCTTAGAACAGAGAGAAGTGAACTCACCCGTAGAAGTAGATGCCAGGAAATAATCAACTTGATGGCTGAAATCAACAAAATAGAAACCAGGAAAACAATACAAAAAAAAAAAAAATCAATGCAACGAAGAGTTGGTTTTCTGAGAAAATCAACAAGATAGACAAACCTTTATCCAAATTAACGAAAAAGCAACCTCGAAAAGCGAGAGAGAATATGCAAATTAACAAAATCAGAAACGAAAAGGGGAATATAACAACAGAGGAAATGCAGATAATTTTCAGGTAATACTTTGAAAATCTGCATTCCACAAAAATTGAAATTCAAAGGAAATGGACAAATTTCTGGATAATTATAACTTACCAAAATTAAATTAAGAACAGAAAAACAACTTAAATAGACCTAAAACCTGCAAAGAAATAGAAGCAGTCATCGAAAGCCTTCCAACCAAAAAAGTCCAGAGCCAGATGGATTCAGTGCAGAATTCTACCAAACACTAAAGGAAGAACTAATACCACTACTCCTCAAACTATTCCACAAAATAGAAACAGAAGGTTCATTGCCAAACTCTGTTTATGAGGCCACAATAACCTTGGTACCCAAGCCTCACAAAGACACAACTAAGAAAGAAAACTACAGACCAATATCCCTGATGAACATCAATGCAAAAATACTCAATAAAATACTGGCAAACTGAATTCAAGAATACATCAGAGAAATCATACTCCGTGACCAAGTAGGCTTCATCCCTGGAATGCAGGATGGTTTATCATACAAAAATCTATCAAGGTGATCCACCATATAAACAAACAGAAAAAGAAAAACCATATGATTATCTCCCTAGATGCTGAAAACTCTTTCTACAAAATTCAACACCCTTTCATGATAAAGGTCTTGGAGAGGTCAGGGATAATAGGAACATACCTAAACATAATAAGAACCATATACAGCAAACCAACTGCCAACATCAAACTGAATGGAGAGAAACTTAAGCCAATTCCTATAAAATCAAGAACAAGACAAAGCTGCCCTCTCTCTCCAACTCTTCAATATCGTACTAGATGTTCTAGCTAATGCTATAAGACAACAAAAGCAGATCAACGGGATCCAATTTGAAAAGGAAGAACTCAAACTGTCTCAATTTGCAGATTATATGATAGTTTATATAAGCAACCCAATACACTCTACCAGGGAACTCCTACAGCTGATAAACACCTTCAGAAAATTAGCAGTATACAAGATAAACTCAAAAGAAATAACAATAGCCCTACTTTTTTTCAGACGACAAAGAGACAGAGAAAGAAATTGAGAAGCATCACCCTTTACAATAGCCACAAGCAACATAAAGAATCTTGGTGTAATGCTTACCAAACAAATAAAAGACCTATATAACAAGAACATTGTGGCTCTAAAGAAAGAAATTAAGAAAGACACCAGAAAATTGAAAGATCTCCCATGCGCTTGAACAGGTGGGATAAACATAGTAAAAATGGCAATCTTACCAAAAGCAATCTACAGATTCAATGCAATCCCCATTAATATCCCCCCACAATTCTTCACTGACCTTGAAATGATAATAATCAACTTTATATGGAAAAACAAAAGACCCAGGATAGCCAAAACAACCATATACAATATAAGAACTTCAGGAGGCATCATCATTCCTGATTTTTAACTCTACTACAGAGCTATAGTTCTGACAACAGCCTGGTATTGGCATAAAAATAGACAGGCAGATCAATGGAATGGAATTGAAAATCCTGATATTAACCCACACACCTAATGAACACCTGATTTTCGACAAAATAGCTAAAATTATACAATGGGGTGCAGACAGCATTTTCAACAAATGGTGCTGGCACAATTGGATGAGGGTGTGTAGAAGACTGCAGATAGACCCATGTCTGTCACAAAACTCAAGCCCAAATTGATCTAAGACCTCAATCCAGCCACACTGAACCTCTTAGAAGAGAAAGTAGGAGGTATCCTTGAACATAACTCCATTGGCACAGACCCTGAGAAAAACAATTAATAAGGGACCTCTTCAAACTTAGAAGCTTATGTAAGGCAAAGGACACAGTGGACAAGACCAAATGGCTGCCAACAGAATGGGAAAAGATTTTTCACCAATCCTGTATCCGACAAAGGGCAAATTTTAGAACTCAAGAACCTAGTCAACATAACACCAAATAACCCTATTAAAAAATGGGTTACAGAATGAAGAAAGAATTCTCAACAGAGGAAATCAAAAAGGCTGAAAGACACTTAAGAAAATGCTCCACATCCTTAGCTATCAGGGAAATGCAAATCAAAACATCTTTGACATACCATCTTACTCCTGCCACAATGGATAAATTAGAAACACCAATGATGACTCATGTTGGAGAGGATGTGGAGGAATGGGAACACTCCTCCACTGCTGGTGGGAGCGCAAACTCATACAGCCATTTTGGAGATCAGTATGGCGGTTCCTCAGGAAAATGGGAATTAGTTTACCACAGGACCCGGCAATACCCCCTCTTGGGCATATACCCAAATGATCCACATCCATGCAAAAAAGACATCTGTTCAACTATGTTCACGGCAGCACTATTTGTAGTAGCAAAAACCTGGAAGCAGCCTAGATGCCCCTCAATTGAAGAATGGTTAATGAAGAAGTGGCACATCTACACAATGGAATACTACTCTGCAGAAAAAAATAATGGTATCTTGAAATTCGCAGGCAAGTTGATGGCACTTGAAGAAACCATACTGAATGAGGTAACCCAGTCACAAAAAGAGGAACACAGTATGTACTCACCCATATGTGGATTTTAGACCTAGATCAAAGGATCACCAGCCTATAATTCACACCACCAGAGGAACTAGGATAGAAGGTGTATTCTAAGAGATTCATATAAAGTCCCTCACAGAACTGGGAAGGGACAAGTCCCCCCAGAGCTCAGGTGAAGTGGGGGGGGGGGCAGCAAATGGAGAGAGAAGTAGGAGAAAACAAGGGGGAGTAAAGGAAAACATGTGCGACCAGGAAGATTGAGCCCGGTTAGGAATAGAAGATGAGAGAGAGAGAGAGAGAGAGAGAGAGAGAGAGAGAGAGAGAGAGAGAGAGAGAGAGAACATAAAAGATGGAGCCAATAATGGTTTGAAGTTAAATTGAACACAAAGAAAGGTCTAGAGAGCTACAAGACTGCTGCCAACTAACAATCTGAGCTTCTGTGGAAAGGCTATCATAAATGCCCTTCCCGAAGAGTGAGATCAACAACAAACTTATCCATGGAGTACTAAACTTGTGCCTGATGGAAACAGGAGCAAACACCCATACATAAACACTGAGTCGAAGTAGAACCCAGATGCAGATGGAGAGGACAAGACCAGGCTGCAGAAACACATAGAGACAGCTTACCTGAATAAGAAGGAGCTAATGGGCCAGCAGACTGATAGCTGGGAAGCCAGCATGGGACTGACTCAGGCCCTCCTGAATATGCCTCTCAGCCAGAAGGACTGAGCAGTCTAAGGGACCTCAGACAGTGGAGCCAGGATGTATCCCTGGTGCACAAAAGGACCTTGCGAACACATCCCCCATGGAGGGATAACTGCCTTAACCTAGAGACAGGAGAGAATCCCTAGTCCCTACTTCACATGACCTGTCAGATCTACATGACCCCAACTGGATGGCATTCCCCTACATATGGAATTGGGGTGGGGGGATAGGAGGGGAGGGTGGATAGAGTGCATGTGAGAGGGCAGAGAGGGAGAGGGAACTGGGATGGACATGTAAAATAATAAATTAAATTAAAAAAATGCTTTGACTCCAAAATTTAAGCTCAAGGACAAGTTACTGGGGAAAAGGATTTCTATTTTTGTTTCCACAGAAAATGAAAAGATGTGGATTCCTTCCAGACTAATGTGGTTTGATAAAGCCAGACTGCCTGAAACAGAGTACCAGGTGATCCTACATTCAAAACAGCTGGACAAAGCATCCTTACAGACTACAGCCAGGATTTCTGCATCTTCTTGGAATTACCTTGTCAGAGCCCCTTACCAGCAGGAAGTAGTTTGGAAAGAGTGATGCCCAAATTCCCAAATATTGTCTAATGTTTGTTTTCATTTAAATGGAATTGGTTATATAAAATAACAAAAAGGTAAAAATCATTATTTTATTTCTTTATTCATGAACACTAGGCTAAAATACTGGTGAACAAAGACATGGAGTGCTAACATATATATTACAAATCTATGTATGCTCTAGAAGCATTTGAAATGTAACAAAAAGACACAATAGCAAATAAAAGCTGTTAAAATTATTTGAATTTACAATTAAGCATAAAATTGTGACCAACTAGTGACTAAACCCAACAAGCCATTACCTTGATCTGATTTTCCTTAACCTTTAGGAGTTGCTCTGCCTGTACGTTGGATACTTCGATTGCTATTTTCTGTTTATTGAGTTGATTCATTTGTTCTTTCATGACTTTAGCTTCTTCTAAATACTGACAGGAAAACAATAACAACGATGTGAAAGATAGCACAATGTTTAGAAGAATTTTTTCAATATCATTAAAAGATACTAAATGTGTTATTAAATGATATTAAAAAAAGATAGGGTTGCTACGTAAATAGGGACTCAGATGTGGTTCCTTTTTATAAAGAACTTTCAAAGCAGAAGACTATAAAATAAGAAATATTCTTCAATTGATTTACAAGGAAAATTTTAATCAAGTACACGATTTTGACACATACTTGTATGAAAAATCTAGTCAATTCTTTCTATCTTTGTACCCTAAATACTCTGCTACATCTCATTACTTTTGTTTGATTGTTTGTTTTGTTTTCCCAATAGAGTTTCTCTGCATTGCTTTGGAGCCTGTCCTAGAACCTACTCTGTAGACCAGGCTGGCCTGGAACTCACAGCAGAGATACACCTGCCTCTGCCTCCCAGGTGTTGGAAAAAAGGTATGTGCCACCAATGCCCAGATATATATATATATATATATACATATATATATATGTATATATATATATATATTCTGATATATATATTCTGCATATATATCTGTATCCTGAAATATATATATACTGCACTGTGATTTCTATTTATATATATATATATATATCCTGATATACATTAGGACTTTGAAGTGAGGATGACTCAGTTTTTATTATAGTAAGGACAATCAACACAGGAGTCCTCACCACAGTGTTTTCTAAAACCTGAGATGATAGAACAAAGATGTGAAAGGAGAAGGCATCAACCCCAAAAGAAAATGGACAAACAGAAGGAACACATGTGAGACAAAACAATCCACAGACAATAGAAGAAACATAAGCCAGTTAGAAAATCCTAAAATAAGATGACTTGACACAATACAGAGAGGCTCATGATGGAAAGCAGCAGTAGTAGAGGGAGGAATGGAAACCAAAAGGGAAGAATTAGGGAACTGGAGAGACAGTAGAGTAGTTAAAAGCACATACTGCTCTTGCAGAGGACCCACACTCAATTCCCTGCACCTGCACTGAGTAGCTCACAGGTGCCTGTAATTCTATATGATCTAATGTCCTCCTCTAGTCCCTACAAATGCCTGAACATATACCCACATACCAACACACAGAAGTATACACATGCTCCTGATATCTCTCCTATTACCTCCCTGTACCTGTCTTCTCTCAAACATGCATATACACATCACATTTTCTGCCACTCATCTCGTTTTTTCTTTTATGCATACATTAGCTGAATGTTTCATCCCTACTGGCAAGCTTCAATAGTGCTGTAAGGTGTTATGCATACAGCAGTCCAAACATATTCATCAATGTCACCTACCTGTGAAGCACACAAGCTGAAATAACAACCCAGCAGCAAGATGTGGCTTATGGTACCACAGTAGCATAAGTGTTATTAAAGTAAGCAACCACTTTCTAATTGGATTTAAGGCCAACCAGCTCAATGAGATGACATGTTGTCCAGCACAGCAATGCACACCTTTCACCTCAGTGCTCAGGAGGCAGATGCAGGGGGAATTCTGTGAGATCAAAGTCATCCTGATCTACATAGGGAGCTCCAGGATAGACAGAATTACTTAGAGAGATTCTTTCTAAAAAAATAAACTGGACCATCCCTGACACTATTAAGGCCTCTAGTCACTACACACAATTACAAATATGTATCCACGTGAACAAATGAATACACACACACACACACACACACACACACACACACACACTCAACGAATCAGGTAGTCGTCAATATCATTATATGGAAGGGCTTTAAAGTTAGTCTCTCCAATATTTCTTGGATTGCTATTTGGTCACAGAAGGCCTTACCCTCCCTGAGAAGCAGAAAGGGGATAGGGTGGGTTTTGGTGGGGGTTATAGGGGTGAATGGGAACATGAGGGAACTGGGATTGACATGTAAAACAACATTTTTTCTAATTTAAATAAAAAGGAAAAAAAACAAAATTTAAATTGTCACAATAAATAGTTCTAGTAACCCACAGTTTCAAGAGTTTCCAGAATGTAAGAATCCAACATATTAATGAAACCCTATGTGACACATCATCACACAATCTCAGAGAGCCAGAGACAACAGAAAGATAATGTTCGAGAAGAAAAAAAAGGGCAGCAAGCAAAGAAGGTCCCATAATCAACACATCATTCAAGTTTCAAAACCAAACATGGAAAGAAGGGAAGACAATGCAGCAATATCAAAATTTTATTTAAAAAAAAATGCAGCACAGCAGAAAGATCTCCTGGTTTGAGGCCTGCATGAGATTATAGTGAGTTCCAGAACAGCCAAGACTATTACACAGAGAAACCCTGTCACACTAACAACAACAAAAGCAGAATCAAAACACCAAGAAGTGCAAATAAGTATCGAAATATCAGAAACATGAAAGAGAACAAGGAGTTAGAGCAATTTCTCAGTGGTTAATACCATGCACTGTTCTCCAAGAGGTCCTGAGTTCAGTTCCCAGCACCTATATCGGGCTCATCACAGCCACTTATAACTCCAAGTACAGGAGATTCAACATCCTTCCCTGGCCTTTGAGAGCACCTTAATCATGAACACAAATGCACACAAATATAACATGCACAAAATTAAAAAAATAATAATTGATTTTAAAATAAAATCTTTTTTAAAAATGGAAAAATAAGACCTTTACAGCTATGCAATTGCCTTTTAAAATTACCTACAGTACCTTATTATCTGAAAGATAAACAAGTTAATTAATCAAAAATGTTCTCTTTTGAAACATGAAACAGAACATTTAAGATAAGGAAACAAGAATCCTTGGCTGCTGAGTGAACTGTAGTATCAGGACAAAAATGCCCAGTAGATCTATAGAACACATTTTTCTTTTTCTTTCTTTGCTCTTTCTCTTTCCTTCCTTTCTTCCTTCCTTCCTTCCTTCCTTCCTTCCTTCTCCCTTCTTTCCTTCTTGGAGACATGGTTTCTCTGGCTATCCAGGATCTCATTCTGTAGACCCGGCTGGGCTCAAAGTCACAGAAATCCACCTGCTTCTGTTCACAGTGCTGGGATAAATAGGTATGTGACACCACTGCCACTCATTACACATTCTTATTGGACTAGGAGAATCTAAGATTCCAAGAAAAATGGCCCCCAGAAGAAAATGAAGGAGTCCAAGAATATCTATGGTTATTTCACGAGACCTGAATTTGGTTCCCCTTACAGACCATGTTGGGGATCTGATGCTTGTGGCCTCCAAAGGTACCTGCACTTGTGTGCACATATCTACAATCAAGTTACACACATGCATATAATTAAAATAAAAAATAGAAGAGGAAAAATCTGGCAGTAGGCACACACATAACTTTGAACCCAGCAATTAGGAGACTGAGTACCTCAGTAAGTTCCAGGTCACCCTGAATTTCAATACAAGACACTCTCAAAAAAATAACAATAATGAAAATAATAGAATTGTAAATGAACAAATTAGCCAAGGTAGTTGAGTGATTGGCATTTCCATTGAGATAGATTACAAATATCCATTACAGGAAGCCAAGTAGTAAAATAAAACGTCGGGCAACTCAGGATATATAGTCAAGTCAGGCAGACTACTATTCAGAGATCCATAATACTGTAAGAAGAAAATGTCACACTAGTAATTTGGGAAGATAGTAAAAGCGTTTCCACAAGAGGAAAAGGACAGTATGTCTATAACAAAGTAAAGGTAAGGACAAACACCATGTCATACCTGTGCACAGTCAAACTCTCACACCACACCCCCACAAACACCCCCCATCTCAATATGCACACTATAGAAAGGAAGGAAAAGAGAGACAGCAAGGGAGGGAAAGGAAGGAAGAAAAGAGACAGAGGGGAAGGGGCCTGGGACCTGGGAAGACAAACAGATTTATGACAACAGCAGCGAGAGCACTGTCTGGGTTAGTGTCTAGGAGAGAGGAGGGTGAGGATAAAAGGTAAGATTTCACTTTACATTACCCAAGAACTCCTCCCTCCTCTAGCACCCCAATTGGTAATCTGTTAACTCTTACTGCAGTCTTTATTGTGAGGAATCCTGTTAGCCGATGTCTCCTGTGAGAGTAAAAATTCTGACTGCCTTCTATCAGGGGAGAAGACAGATGGAAGAACACACTTTTAAATCCTTTATGGGAGTCTGCAGGGGAGACTTCCTGCTCTCATAAGCTTACTCATTCACTACACAACTCCACACATGGTTCATTTGTGAGTACCCACAACATCAAAGGCTATATTCATATCTAAAAAAAATATCTGTAGTCTACAAACCTGACGCACGCTTTCCTGACGTTGAGAATTTTCATTCAAGGTATCTGTTATTACTCCTTTAAGTCGTTCTTTATTTATTTCAAATATTCTTAGTGTGGTTTTGGCCTAAGTAAGAGAAATACACCGTTTATAACAATTAAGCAGAAAGCCCCCTGATTATGTCTTTTCTGAAGAACATAAAATGTAAGCAAAAGCCAAAACATTCCACTATTTATAGCAGAGGCAGTATCAACACTACTTTGATAGACAAAGTCATTTGCCACATGACTTTGAACAAATTATTGAACCTTCCATGTACAATGCAGACCATTTTGTTAACTACTGAAATAGAAAAGAACAATTATTAGTTACAGAATTATTGGTTTATTTAGCGGCTTACTTAAAACACTGCTTTACTGCCTATTTGCCAAACATGGCTTCACTTGCTACCAGGAAGGGAATAACCTGGAGAAATAGCTGAAAGAATGGGTTGTCACCCTTAGCAACCTGCTACTGCCATGTACACTTCAGAAAAATTTGCTTGCTTGCCTGCCCACTTTGTGATTTTAGAAAAGAAACTCTAACTAGAATTGAAGGCTTTCTGGAGGTCTCAGGAGGACAGTCCACTGGTGACCTCTCTCTTCCATGCTCACTAGTGTAGGAGTAGATATTAGAGAAAGACCCCATACTCCTTACACTTTGTCTCCTGACCTAAACTTTATACAGCAGGAAGCAAATCTATTTATTATCGATACATGTTACACAACTTCAAGAGTGCTCAGATACATTCCTAGGTTAAATATATCTAGAGGAAAATGAATTTCAATCAAAGTAACACATTAAAACAGATGCATATTTAAGATTGGCTACATTTCAAATACTAACAATATTTTATTACCTAATGTGATGGCTGTTTGGTTATCAATGATAACTGGAATTAACTAAAACCCAAGGAAGCTGTGAGTACTGTTTCTAAATTAAATAATTTCAAGTGGCAAGACCCACATTTAATCTGGATCTTTTGAGGTGGGAAGATCCACCTATATTCCGGGCTATACCTTCTGGCAGCAGCCTATCTAAAGGACATGGAAGAGGAAGCTTGCTGGTCCTCACCCTCACTGGCATTACAGCCTACTTCTTTGGTATTCCAGTGTATACTGAGTATCAGGTGAGATATCCAGCCTCATGGACTGAGAAAGTGCTGGATTCTTGGACTCTCTGTTGGTAGACTGACATTGCTGGTCTGAGTGGCACACAGCCTGGAAATCGCTTTAATAAATACCCGATATATAGATAGATAGATATTTAGATAGATAGATAGATAGATAGACAGATAGATAGATAGATAGAGACATCTCATAAGTTCTGTTCCTCTAAAAAACTCTGACAAATATACCTAATAATAATATGAAACATAAATGGTCTTCAGAAGTGACAGATTAATTTATTTCAACTTAACTTACTTCAGCTAGCTGTGATTTGACAGACTGTGATTCATCTGCTAGAGACTGGATCATTTTTGAAAGGTGACTCATCTGAAAAGACAGTATCAGTCAGTAAGTATTTAATAAGTCTATTTTGCTCCAAGACAACATGCATTAGTGAAATACATTGTTAATTTACTGTTAATAAAAGGGAGAGGCCAGATAAGGAGGCCTTGTCAGCTTGCATTCCAAGTGCTCACAAGGATTTTAAAAATTATGTAATCACATGATGTCCTTACAAAAGCAATACATGATAGAACTTTTCAGGTTTAAGGTGAACCCACTAATTCGTATGTTAAATAATCTCACACACATCAAGATTTTGCTTAATCCAGAATTTAAAGTAAAATAAATTATATATATATATATATATATATATGTTATATATTTTTCACTATGAATATTCAAGTTATATTCTTTATGGTTACTTCCAACGTAAATATTGAAATTTTCCATTTAAAATAACAAGCGAGCCAAGTGTGGGGGTGCACACTTGTAATCCCAGCTCTTAAGAGGCACAGACAGGAAGGTCATGAGTTTTAGGCCAGCCTCACTCATACATACAGGACTATATTCTAATACTATGTCAATGAATATAAACAATAAGAAAACAGGAATATGCACAAGCCACTCATCATAACATCTAAAAAGTAAAAGTTTGATGGGAGGTGTTGGCACATGCCTTTAATCCCAGAAAACAGGAGGCAGAGGGAGGTGGATCTTTGTGAGTTCCAGGCCAGCCTGGTCTGCATAGTGAGTTTCACAACAGCCAGAGTTATTACATGGAGAAATCCTGTCTTGAAAAAACAAAACATAACAACAAATAAATAAAAGAGGTGAAAAGATCAGATCAGATGTGAAAATTTTTGTTCTCATATTATTCTACATCATTTTTTTTTTTTTGATTTTTCAAGACAGGGTTTTTCTGTGTCACTTTGGAACCTTCCTGGAACTCATTCAGTAGAGCAGGCTGGCCTCAAACTCACAGAGATCTGACTGCCTCTGCCTCCAGAGTGCTAAGATTAAAGGCATTTGTCAAGAATGCCCAGCCTGCATTCCATTTTTTATATACATGAGTTTCTTTACATTTCAGGGCAGGATAGCTTGGAACTGTTGTTTCTTCCTCCCAAGTGCTGGTATTATAAGTTTGTGCCACTATGGTTGGCTCACATATAATATTTTAATCAATATTTAATTTATAGGTAAGATTCATAATTCTCTTGGAATATATAAGACTCACCAATTCCTCTTCTTCATGATGTTTAGCTCTCTCTTCTTCTAGTTTCTTCTCTATAAGTAATATTTCTTCTTCAAGTTTAGATTTATCTCTTTCTAGATTTTTATAAGTTGCCTAAAATAGAAAGCTAACTTTAACAAGCCAAACATAAGAATTTTTAGTTAGGGTAAAAATCAGATGAGTGTAGGGTAAAAATCAGATGAGTATACTCAAATTTATAAACACTTTATACGTTTTTTCATTTCTCAAATATTAAAATAACAACAGGTTTAACAGTTGCCAGCAACTTCTATAAAAAAAAAGTGTAAGTATTTTAGGTGCCCACCAGTTAACCACGGAAAACAATGAATACCCACTGAAGGAATTAAAACAGTTGCATTCCAAAAAAACTTTTATGTAAAAATAAAGAAAAATTAATGAGTTTATTTGGAGTCTAAACTCCCTGCAGATTCTACAAGGGCATTCTAAATCATAAGAAACAGACTTGCTACTCAGGACAGAGGATGACAGAACTGACATACTGGACTGAACACATAATCTAAGGGACAAAGTTTTTTTTCTGTTTTATCATTGGTAGGAGCAGGCTACTTCTATTTACTCTACAGGCTCACAATTCAGTTTTAATAACCGTTCCACTTTCAAAGAGTATTGAGGCACTTCATCACATCATACTCTGTCTGTTAAGACAAGTCATTGTGTCCTCTGAATCAAGAGAGTTAACTGTCCATCTCTCCTAAACTCTCCATTCTGTGAAATCATGGTTATGGACTGAAAACTGGCTGTGATGGAGTGTGTAGACAAGGGTTGATGCACAGAAAGGGATTAAATATTTATCACCATGCCACTCTTTACAATGTAAACCTCAATTCTAATTTTAGTAAATATCTACTACCATGGTAAGAAAAAACAATATGGTCACAACTTACTTGTCTGCTACTATGCCTAAATTTGTGAGAGTTCTATGTCTCTTTCCTGGAGCAAACTATGTCAAAAGTAGGAATTGTCTTTCCAATCCATTCACCAGAGTACAGAATGCAGAATTTCTTTCTTTCTATAAATCTATAGCTTCTGATAAACTGATTTTGTATCCCTCAAAACAAGTTAATGACAAGAGATAAAACTGTTATGTTTTAAAATATTTTATGCCACCTACAACTATTCTGTTTCCACTAACTTTTTTCTGTACATTGTAAGATCCAGATACACAATTTCATATTTCTCTGACATAATTATTTTTGAGGAGACAAGATATTTCTAATAAGAACCTTTTCCCTAGCTTTTACATCATACTTTTTTTTTACCTTCAAACTCTGTACTTCTGTTGATGCCTTGTCAAAGTTGGCCTCCTTTAAGGATGACTCTAAGCCTTCACACTGAATAAAACAAGGGAACACATGAGGAAAAAAATACAAATTTTATCTCAACTTGTATCTAAATAGACACCAAAGAAGGAAACAGAATTTATATCCACCATGTAAAGTACCCTTGGATTTTATGAGCTTAGTTTTGCAATCTAAACACTGTGCTGAGGAAAGCCAGGTCTACAAACAAGCCACAACCACCAGCCTAGGCAACATATGGCAGAACGTTTCCTTTGTGACTACCAAAGTTGCCCCACATCTGCTGGGGCTGAAAACCCTAACAGCAAGTGTGACTAAAGTGGATCTAAAGAAGTGAGTCATCTACTATCCCCTGAACAGATTAATCGCTTCTCCAGTCTGTCAGTAGAACAATATGTGGTAACTGGCTATCAGACATTTATATCATGTGATAAATAAGGCAAGTAAGGAAGATAAAATCTGTGAGTTTCAGACCACCCTGGTCTACAGAGTGAGTTTCAGGACAGCCAGTGATGCACAGAGAAACCCTGTCTCAGCACCTCAGAATTTGTGTTATTTAGAGACAAAGCCTTTAAATACAGCTAGGTTAAAATGAGGGATTTAAGATGACTGCAATGTAATATGGCTGGTATCCTATGTGGAGAGCACTAGGACAGAGAGAGACATAACAAGCAGACAGCAATATCTAAAGTCAAGGGACATATCACAGAGGAAGCAAAGCCTGGCTATATCTTCATGGACTCATTTCAAGAACTGTAAGGAAATTCACTTCTGCTGCTAAAGGTATTTTTGTCACAGTAGCCCTAGCATGCCCAAATGAAAACAGTAAATAAAGTCTCTACATGATAACAAGTAAAAGTACCTTTACATCCTTGATAAGCAAAAAAAAAAAATCTCATGAAACATTACACTACATTAAATTGTAATTCAAATCCTCTACCTTCTAAGACACTGAACAAAACAGAAATGTAAGCCACAGAGTAGAAGAGATTTACAATCCATATATCTGACAAAACTCTTTCTTATATACGACATAAAATAGTAAAAGCAAAGGCCCTAATCTATATGGCATAAACTGAGAAAGATTATGAGTGCATTTAAAAAGGATGGAAATGGGCAAGTGTGATGGCTCAGTAAGTAGTTAAGGAGCTTGCTGCCAAGACTGATAACCTGAGTTCAATCCTAGGGACCCACGTAATAAAAAGAGGAAAGTGACTCCTCCATGTCCTATGATCCTATGATCAACACACAAATGCCTTCTTGGTACACGCCTACACACATAGACACAAATAGACACACACAATAAAAATAAAGTCATCTTTTAACGTGGAAAAGACTTAAAAGACAATTTTACAATATCTAAATGAGCAATAAGCAAATCAAGGTGATCTGACTAATTAGTCAGGGAAGGTAAACACTACACATCACCAGGGTGGCTGCAAAGAGAATGGCTAAGTGATGAAGTTGAGCAGCAACAGAGCTCTGGTCTGAAACAAAGCTCTGATGGCAGGCAATAACCCATGGAGAACAATTAAGCTCCACACTGTGATGGATTGTATTTTCAAACACATCTTACCTCCTTTTGAGCAAGGCACACTTTGTCAATTAGATCACATTTCTTTTTGATTTCCATTGCAAGTTCCACAGCCAGTCTATTCTCTCTTACTGAGCAAGCAAAGAAAAGATTATTATGACTAAAGTGTGAAAACGCTTTAAATTATATACAATCACAAGATCTAAAATCAAAAAAGACTACTTACTCAAATAAAGTCGGCTTTGAATCTGAAACAAAAATTTAACAAAATTACATTAAAACAAATATATCATCAAGCAAATCTATCTGACTTCTACTTCCAGCTTTAAGATGCCAACTTTCTTATGTCCTTATGGTAAATAAATTACCCGAAAGCCTTCTATTTCAAATGAAAACAATGCTATATAGTAAGGTCTCCCATTGTGTGGTATCATGTGTGTTATCATATTAAAGGCTCTGAAACAGTCTTATTCTAAAGAAAACTGTATAATTCCACTTAACTCCATGTTTCCCATGCATATATTGGCTCTAAAACAAAGTATTTTAAGGAGCCACCATTATTAAATCTCCTACGGTTAATAATCAAAATAAAAATATATGAAATATCATTGGACTCTAGACCTTGACTGACTAAAAAAACTCATTAGTATTTTTCTTCTTCATACTTCAGCTTTCGATAAGGAAGGGATAAATCCACCCTTGAGAACAGTGGGGATAGGGTAAAGTGATCAAGGGACGCAGCAAGAACACTCATGCCACCTAGAAAACAGAGACAGAAAACTGGAAGAAAAAAAAATGACAAAAAAACAGTAGGATATATGTAAGCAGAAGGTAAAGAAGAAAAAACCATGAAGATATTAGAAATGAAGTCAGTCAGAAGCACAAAGGCCAACATCTAAAAAGAAGTCTCAGAAAGAAAAGGCTATGTTATGACTCCCTCCTTAAAAACAGTTAGCATAGGAAAAAGCAATATAGGATCCATAGGAAAAAGCAATATAGGATCCAGGAGAGCCATGAAAGTGGCGATTTTTACTCTTAGTTAGGAAGTAGATACACCTGCAAACTTTTTAATATTGTTAAAAACAAACACAGACACCCCAAATTTAAAGAAGAAAAGGGAAAGAAAGGTTGGGGCTTTAGTACTAGTGTGTAGTATCCCTACAATAAAATCCTTTAAAATACACTTACATAAAAATATTTCTGTTAATCTCTGTTCAGTTTTTAAAAACCACCTGTTAGCATAACGCAGAACACTAAGACCTAACTCATTTCCCTGAAATAACAAGTTTCTCCAATTAGATGTTCAATCTAAACACAAAATGAAGGTTAGAGAGAAATGGCTCAGAACATTTGTTAGTCTTGTAGAGGACCAAAATTCAAATGCCATCATCGACATTATAGCTCACAGTCATCAGTAATTCCAGCTCCAGGGCATCCAACAATGGCCCACTAATCACTTCTGTAGACCAGGAACACGTACCACACACACATGCATACAAGCAAAACAGTCATGCACATAAAAGGAAATAAACTTAAAAAACAAAAACAAAAAACTTAGAATGACCATTCACTTACTATAAGTAGTTACTTACTGATCGGTATCCTCTCCAAAGAAATAAGAAAATGGTAAGCAGTCCAATGGCAACCACACATATCAGCGATTCTAATGATGGCTCACTAGGATCAAAGCTTGTTGTCATATCTTCAGGCACTGCTGCCACAACCTTCAAGACAAAGAAAATAAACTTATAAGCATGCTTCTTCAACAGTACTGGTACAAAGACAGGCACAGGTGGCTGTGGCCAACTCTATTCATATTGAATGGGCTACCATAAAATACAAAGCAGAATGCCTCCAAACATGTTTTCTAGTAAATTACAATTGTTCTTATTGAGGGGCTAAGTGTGGTGAAACAGTAGTTTTCAAACAGAAGTTATGGGGAGATTCCACAGAGCATAACTCCAGGAGAGTTAAAGGATAAGGATATAGTATCAAGAAAAGAACATTGTGGAATATTTTATATGTGTTTCATTCTTTTATGTTGCATTTGTTTAACTCTGTAAAGCTGCATTACTTTGCCAGTCTAAAACACCTGATTGGCCTAATGAATAGCTGAACAGACCAATAGCTAGGCAGGAAAAATAGGCAGGGCTGGCTGGCATGCAGAGAGAATAAATAGGAGGAGAGACCTAGAGAAGATCCAGGGACAAGAGGAGGAGGACACCAAGGGCACCAGTCACAGAGTAAGAAGGAAAGCAAGGCACATAGAATAAATAAAGGGAAAAGAGCTCAGAGGCAACACATAAAGAGAAATGGGATAATTTAATTTAGAAAAGCTGGCTAGAAACAGCTGAGATAAGGCCAGCCATTCGTAAGTAAGAATAAATCTCAATGTATTTATTTAGGAGATGGGGACACCGTCCCTACCAAAGATTTTTAAAATCCAGTAAAAAAAAAAAAAAAAAGTATCAATGATCTGGGTTGGGTTCTTTTCCCTGAGTTCAAGTTCATGATTTATCCATATGCACTGGGTTTGAAAAAACATTTCCTGCAGAGGAAAAACACTGATCTGCAGCTTGTCCTCTGAGGAAGGGAGAGTGATAAGAAACTACTGATAGAGCTTCAGAGTTGGGATGTAAACCCTTCCTTCCTGTCTCTTGAGTTAAATTAATGCAGTTTGAGCCCAAAAAAGAAAATGGTTCTTTCAAAAACAACCCTAGAAATGATGGGCTTGACTCTTTCCAGGCATCAACATACACCATCTAGAAACTCCACAGCTGTCTTCTCCTTGGGGTCTGACAAAATGAACAACAAATCCTTAGATAATTACTATCTATAAAACCTGTTTTATGCTAGTACATGACAAGGACCTTTTACAAGCTGCTATCTACAGCTTATTAACTTCTACCAAAAAAAAATACATGCAATAGTATTCTCTTTTTTTATTCCCTGTATCTTTATTTTCCTTTTTACATCTGTGACTCCAGAAAGGATCCAAAGTGTAGGTGCACAGCCTCTGCTCTGGGTTTCATGGAGAGTTCATTTAACCTTGTGTTTTGGATCCTTAAGGTACAGGACTGACCTTACAAGGGCTCAGAAAAGGGTTGAAAATATTTTATCCTGGTCCTCTCTCTCTTTCTCACCTGAGCCACATACAAAAAAAGTGTGATATCATGTTGCAAGGCAATGATACCAACGATTTGCCTCTAGGATCACAAGAATAGATATTCAGGCATGGCAAATATTTCCATTATCTCACTCCAGAGACTATGAATGTATATCCAAGCCCTCCACATACCCTCTAAAATATTCTTCCACACCTCACAGAGTAAGGCCTGCAGTTAATTGCATATTTTACCTCTTCCTGAATCCATCTTCCCTCAGTGCGTTATTCTAGTCTTTATTACCAGACCCCAATACTAACTGATCATAAACAAGTAGACTCCTCTGATAGCAGATAAAAAAGACTAAGACTAAAACTGTTACTAGAAACAAAGATGTGATGGAAAAGGCTAGCTCAGTCTTTAAGATGTAGGATTTTATGCAAGAGAACAATAAAATGAAGTAAATCTGTTGAAGTAAGGATAAAACAAACCGTTCATCAACAGTAGTTAGTTATTTTTAGATCTCACTTTCAGTGAGTCAGCATGAAAAGACAACACGGTAAAAAACACTACAAATAAGTTAGACTATCATACTAGCAAAATACTATGCAATAATAGCAGAAAATACATTCACTCTCAAATGTACATGGAAGATTCTTCAGAAAAAAATCCAGGCATTAAGCTAAAACACACCTCAATGTTTTCTTTGTTTTTTGTTTTGTTTCTTTAAATAATCAAACCACATGGCCAAGCCCAGAGAAATGGCTCAGCAGCTGAAAACATTTGCTGCTCTTGCAGCAATCCATGTCAAGAAGTCCCTAAGTGCCTGCCCATGACTCCAGCTCCTGTGAGATCTGATGCCTTCTTGCCGCTTCCTTGGGCAGCTGAAGCTACAAGCACATACACACACATACACATAGTTTAAAATAGTAAAAATTCAATTAAAAAATTCCCATGTCAAGAAGCATCGTCTCTGATTACAACGGGTTAAAATTAGTTATCAAAAAAACAGGAAGGGCTGGAGAGAGAGCTCAGCAGTTAAGAGCATTTGTCATTCTTGTAGATAAATGACCCATGTTTGTTTCCCAGGATCCACTTGGTGGCTCACCACTATCTATGACTCCATTTCCAGGGAAATATGTCACCCGTTAAGGCATCTTTAAGCACAGCAAACATGTGACGCATGGACATACATGCACGAGCAAAACATCCATGAACATAAAAGGTTTTTTTTAAAAAAAATAATAAAATGCAACATAAAACTTACACAAAACAACTAATTCAGTGTGTAACAGGAAAATTTATAGTCATAAAAGACTTTGTAAAAAAAAATATGTGGGGGCAGGGGCTGGAGAGATCTCACAATGGTTAAAAACATTAGCTAGTTGTCAAGAGGTTCTGAGTTCAGGTCCTAGCATCCACATGGTAGCTCACAACCATCTGCAATGAGGTGCCCTCTTCTGGCCTGCAGGGATATAAGGAGACAGAACACACTATATATAATAAATAAATCTAAATAAAAATTTTAAATATTATTGGGCCAGGAAGATAGCTAAGCAGGTAAAAACTTTGCCACCAATCCTCAGGACCTGTGTTTGACCCCCATCACCAATGTGGTAGAAGGAAAAAAACCGACTCTTGGGGCTTTGGATTTACACACACACACACACACACACACACACACACACACACACACACACACACACCATAAATACACAGAAAGGAATGTAATGCTCAGTTAAAAAAATCAATGTCATAATCCACAGTAAAAGAAATGAAGAAAAAGAAGATCTCAACAGATAGTAATAAAACATGTAAGAAAATCGACCGTCTAATCATCAGGAGACTGCAAACTAGGACTACTTTTCTCAATCTGACAAACAGCACCAATAGAAGACTCATAGCTAACACCATCCTGAAGGGGAGAGAATTGTTCCCTTACAAAATGCAACACACATCCACACAGCCCACTGAACCACAGAAAATCCAGCCAAGTCTGCAAAATCCCTCCGTGTTCCTCACCCCCAACCTTATCAAAAATAAGTGTTGGTAACTGCTAGGTGCCTGTGTATTTTATGTGAAAAGCCAGAGGCTGCTGTTGTAATGTCTTCCTTCTCTACCTCAATTTTTCTAAGGCAGAGTCTCTCACTGAATCTAGAGCTCACACATTCTCTGATAAACTGATGACCAGTGAACCTGGGATTCCTCTATTCACACCCAGCATTTACATTGCCTTAAGGGCTCCTACTCCAGATCATGGCAAGCACTTTCCTTTCCGCACTGAGTCATCTCCCTAGGCCCTGATTGTGGATTCTGAGGGAGATGTGTGTGATCTGAAATCATCTCTCATCTACAATATGCTTCTCTTCCCATAAGGCCCATCTCAGTAACTTAGCTGACAGAGCCAGGAACTTGGGACTATTCCAGATTCTTCACACATCCCACCCCTCTCTGCAGCTAATCAAGAAAGTCACACTCATTTTAGCTCTTATTTCTTCTTGCCCCATTTAGGACCAACTTCTCTATCCTTATCCCTATCAATTCTCCTTCCTGTGTTTTTTCCCATGACATTTGATTCTCATACTATCAGGAATATCTATACATTTTTCTATGGGTCTCACCACTGATGAGCCTGTGCTGGATCTCACACCCCACAGCAATCCTTGAGACCCACTGGTCTACAGTGAGCATCATGTCACATCAGGCCCTTGGCTCACTTATGCTGTGAGCTCCTGTGTATGCTGTTTTCACACCTCATCTACTGAAACTTATTTGCTCAGTCTAAAGACTTTGCCAGCAACCCAAGGAAAAACAATCACTCCCTTCCCTTATTTTGCATGTGTACTTCTATAGGCAATAGACTTCAACTGTGGATTAATTTTGTGTATTTTCTCCCCAAACAGCCAACATGATGAAAATGACCAAAATCCTTATTTCATTTAGAACCTCCATAGAGCATTTTTATTCATGGGCAAATGAACCATGAGCATGGAACTACTTACTTTAAATTCACAGAACATGAAGATAATTAGAACTGGCAGCAGCTCAAAAATCCTCCATGGGCACACCACGGTGGCAGTACGAGGCACCGCCATCCCTGTGCCCACCATGGGGGGGGCCTTGCAGCTGGACAGATGGACAGCAGCAGAGCAGAGCACAGTCAGTGGACACTGGGAAAGGGAAGGCTTCTGGGGCCGGCTGGCACCACTGCCCTCTCCACCTCCTTATCTCAGTTGACGCGTCAACGCTGGCACTCTGACCTCCAGCACCAGAGTCCTGGAGAGCTGGAGCAAGAAAAACTTAAGCACCCAGTGTGGGGCTGCAGGCCTACACTCCGAGGCCTGGGGCACAGCCCCGGAGTGAAAGCTCAGCCCCCTATCCCCAGCTACTATCGCACTCTGTCCTATCAAGTCAAAAAAACAAAACAAAAAGAAAAAAAAAAAAAAAACAAAAAAAAAAAAAAAAAAAAAACACTCCCCTATGGAACACTAAAAGCTGAAGCACCAACTTTGGGGCTACAGCCCTACACTCCGAGGCCTGGCACAGCCCCAGAGTGAAAGCTCAGCCCCCAAGTTACAGCTACTATCATGCTCTGTCCTATCCTCTCCAGTCCAAAAGCCACACTGTAGTAGCTAGGGGGAAACGCTCCTACGCAGAGATGTCGTCCTCCGTCATAATCAGTGTCAGAAAACGGCCTCTGACGTAAGAGACGATGAAGCATTCACACTTCGAACTCACTGTGATCAGCCCAGTTATAGCACTTGACTCCTAAGAAATATCCTTTCTTGACTCGGAATTAATAGCAGGTAGGTAGGTGGGTGGGTGGGTGGGTGGGTGGGTGGGTGGGTGTGTGTGTGTGTGTGTGTGTGTGTGTGTGTGTGTGTGTGTACTAATTCCTGGAGATGGAGACATTCTGCTCAGCACTGCCCTATTTAGCATCCTATTTGTAGGCCTCATGAAATAAGCTGATGCTTTTGTGTATCTCAAATGTAGGACCTGAGAGTCACTGCTCTGAAATGTCTTTTTATTTTTCAGTATCAGATCTCATTTCATTGCTCCATGTGCTTCCAAGTAATGACTGCTTTGAATTTCCTCCAAGAAAACTATGTAGGAACTTGGCAAAGTATGTTGGAAAAGAAAACAAAAACAAACAAACAAATAAAACAGACCATCTAAAGTTTTTAAGCATCAGAAATTTGGTTTGTTTTTCCCTAAATTGGAAGTTAGAGCTGATGTGTCAGTTCATTTCCCCAGTTGTTACCTTCAGGGTGATTGAACAGAAGATCAACTGATAAGTATTAATTGCCCTCAAGGAAGTTCTGGGAGCTACCTGTGTTTGCTGTGCTCACTGAACCACACCAAGTTGCAAAACTAGGTACCACCTGTACTTGCCCAAATTTAGTTTATCACTTTGGGCCATGTGGTTTTAGGACAGAGCTGACTGGAGTTGGGTTTTGGCCCCAACTAAGCTTTCTTACATGGAGAAGAAGCCTGAAACTCCAGTGCATGTGTGCTGTAGGCCAGTAGTGACACTGTTCAAATACACTAAGCAGAAAATGTCAACATGGCATATTGGCAAGGTAGTGAAGAACAGACTGAGATCCTTTATAATTTGGATCTGGTTTCATTCTTGATGACTCATTTTCATAGTTTTCTTAGTAGAATTTTTTTTTTTTTTTTTTTTGTTTTTTGTGTTTGTTTTTTTTTTGTTTGTTTCTTGGAACAGGTTTTTCAGAGGCTGCCTGGGAACCGGCTCTTATACACCAGGCAGGTCTTGGACTCATAGAGATCCGCATACCCCAGCCTCAAAGGCTGGGATTAAAAGCCTGCCACACTCCTGATTGGTTCTTAATAGATTTTCAATAGCTGTTATAATCCTTTAGTTTGGAGATGGAGCCATGATGATATATACCACAAAAAGTTATTCTTTATTAGTACTTTTTGGTATTACCCCGAGGGAGTATTCATTTACGTTAAAATACAAGCTCTGTTGACCTCCATATTTTCTGCTTTGAATTACCATCTCCAATCTGTTACTCCATCCCAAGAATTGCACTACTAACTTCTTTATTGTTTTCACTTCTCAGTGTTCACTTGAACATCTTATTTGAATCAGTTTCCACAAACATCAAGAGCTACACATTGAAGCACATATGACTTTTCAAATCCAGCTCCAATAATTCTTCAAAACTCTTCATAATTCTGTTATTTCCTTGGTGTGTGCTTCAGGATTATTGTGTAGAGGGGGCGTAATATTTGCAAATTGCTTCACAATAGTGTCTCTTATTTAACAAACACTTCTCAAATGTGACGTCAATGTTCACATAAACACAAGAAGATCCTCTTCTTTTTAGATGGTCTCCTGAGTCCTAGGAACACTCCACCTTTGGAATTCTTTCACTGATATACAAAACTTGCGAGCACAGCAAATGTTTAGATATTGTCTTGAAGAATTAAGTGAACTCTTTCTACAACTTTAATTATTTATTTGTCAGTGTCTGTGTGGGCAGGTGAACCCTTGCCATTGTAAACATATGGTCAGAGGCCAAATTAGGATTTGAATTGTTCCCTACTAATTTTGAATTGTGTAAGTCTAGAAGACTTAACTTAGGCCTTTAGCTTTGACAGCAAGCATCTTTACCCACAAGGCTATCTCAAGGCCTAATGAATCAGATCATAAGAATTTGATTTATTATTTTTATTTTATCAGTCAAATGAACAAATTTAAGTGAAATGAAGGAACAATAGAATTATTTTTCCTATTTTACTTGTCTGTTTGGCCGTGTGTGTGTGTGTGTGTGTGTGTGTGTGGTGTGTGTCGCGCTACAGAAAGGATCAAGAACCATGTGTGTTTTAACATGAGCTACACTCACAGCTATGTTTTATTACTTTACTATCTAGGGATGATATTCTTTTCCTTTTTGCACTCTCTGGGATGGTAAATTCCCTACATAGACACTTAGCTATACTCAATATCTGGATTTCTTACCAACCATAATATAAATAGTAAGGGCCTGTAATGGAGGGTGGATGTCAATATAACCATATTCTAACTAGTTTGGAAAAAAAGCCTCAATGTCGGGATCAATATATTTGAAGTTTTTTGGTTAATGTTGCATGTCTTGCATGAATAGAATGAAGTTATACTCTTTTCGTGAGTGACCACTGAGGAGGGTCATTTTGTCAGTGAGATGAAGAAATTTAGACTGCCACATGAGAGAGATTTGCTTTCCATGTGTTGTGAAAGAAAACAAATTTAAAACAACCAGAAATTAACCAAGTGGCAACTAGGGTTTTTTCCTTAACCACTCATGTGTCTGGTGTTCAGATACATGGCTGCCCTTTAATTTGTGGTCCTTCCAAGTGAGTTGAGGGACAACTAAAAAGGAGAAGTTGGATGAGAATAATATTCAGCAGATGACCCCAGGACAGAGAAGTTGCTTTCTTGTGATTAAATCCATAATGACAAACACATCTGTGTAGTTCTGTGCTGTGACTTTGCTGTGTTTACTTCCCCCACCTCCCTGTCAGGGCTAAGTCAGTGTGCTGTAATCTAACAGAGATCAGTTCTCAGCTTTTTTTTGAAATGATCTTTCCAGTCATAAGGAGTTAGTTTTCCTACTAATTCAATAACTACATTCTTCAATAGGATTTTAATTTCAAACCATTGGAATAACTTATTTTTTCTACCTCCATGTGAATGTGGGTTATTAATGAGTTCATTAGACCAAAGATAAATGATAAACAGTTTTTTAGTGAACAACTTATACAGCTAATAGTAAAGAACCCCTGAAACGGTCCTGCTTCAGAAGATGCAGTCTCTGCCCTTCTGATGCTCTCCAAGAACCTGAGAAAATACCCACCCCTACCCCCACTTCTCTCCCTTCAGGTAAAGGTAATTATCTTTATTCATAGTAAGAGGTAAGTATAATTTTAAAAGTGAGTTATATATCAGAAGTAGACATAATCACAGGCATACGGATACACAATCTGTTTGTTCTGTTGGCACTGTAATTTAGAAAATTAAACATGGGTACAAGATAAAGTTCACATTGCTGAAGGCAATTTAACTAGAGCACTTTCTCTGTTGGCTACACTCTTGTCCATAGATCACATGCCATGTCAGGCCTCTCCACTCTTGTGATTAAAGAAAACTCTGATGTAGACTGACCAAAGACTATGTGCCTGAATTAGAACTAGAACTATATCTTAGAAGTACCATACCACTCCAGGTGAGCCATCATCTCCTGAAATACTCTTAGGTGTCAAGAAACTGTCATTCCTCCCTTAAAGCAGAATCCCAAAGACCCAACTGAGTGTTGGTTGAAAGCATGCTGAATCTAGTTCAACAGTCCATTACTCATTGGTAGGTAAGGTACACAGTAAGCAGTGGATTTCTTTCTTTGGGTATTTGTGTGACACGGGCTCTTGTAGCCTAGACTGACCACAAACTTATTGTATAACTCAAGACTTCCTGGAACTTTGGGCCTTCCTGCCTCTACTTCGCCAATTCTGGTATTGCAGGAATGAGCCACTATTTATATCTCGTAGGCTGGTGGTGGGTGTGCATTATTCCTAGAGCTTCCTGCATGTTAGGTAAGTACTCTACTAACTGAGCTGAGTACATGTTTGTGTTGCTGTATTGTTTAACTTTTAAACTCTTCCCAGACTGTTCTCTCTGTTTACAGCTCAGTTTTAAGTATACATATATAAGTATATATTGAAACTATATCAATTACTGAAATTTCAAACATTATTAATTTCACACGATGTGGGGTCTAATGCCATTTTTCCCTCAGTGCACTGAAAAATCTAATAGTTGTTAAGGCAGTAATATTTCAGGAAACTAAATTACTACAACAGCCCAGTTCACAAATAAGAACGCTTGATGCTGAGACAAGTTTCATTTCAGAGTGTGACATTCTGAAGAGTGTGCAAGTAGTCAGGGAATGCTCCAGTGGACAGTCTCCTTAAGTTCCATGCATCTAAACAGAATCTACTTCTGAGATGTGATATGATGAAAGGAAGGTACTGCAAAGATGGGATGGGGTTCTTCTCCTGTAGGTAGATCTGGCTGGGATCATGTTCC